TTTAAAAGACAGGTGCGGGTTTAAGGGGGCGGGAAGGAGTCCGCTCTCCTCCCCCTCAGGGATTCGATCATCTGCCGACCCAGAGGGTACCCTTTTTTTAATTATTTTGAGCTAACCATTTTCGGCGACTGACCCTAAAATTTTGCTGAAGGCGCCTGCGGCGCCAATTTATACTAATTTTGAGGGAGCGCGCGCCAAAAAAACGCAATGTTTTGGTCAACATTTTCCAAAAAATGCTTAAAAACCTCTTTTGTGGCCTGCTTTTTTCAGAAATTTGGTCAAAATGGGGTCTTTATAGTGATTTGAGAGAGCTCAGAAAAACAGTTGGGTCGATCTTAAAAAAACTGTCGTCGAAATTTTCAAATTTTTTTTAAAAATCCAACCCACCCTCGAAAAAATCCTAGATCTGTTAATTTATGTAAGCAAACAGTTGGACCTGACCAGTATAGGAGCTTCAAGCGCACAGTGAAAATTAACTTAGCGTTATGGCAAATTATAAGGTCGGCAGACGGTATTTCTTCTTTTTGAAAATTTTGGAACCGCACGAGGGAAAAATTTTCTCCGCGTTTATTGCGGTCATGTGTCGTGCGTAGGTTACAAAAAAAATTTAAGAAGACCTTTAAATTTTAACAGACAGGTGAGGGCTTAAGGAGGGCGGGAAGGAGTCCGCTCTCCTCCCCCTCAGGGATTCGATCATCTGCCGACCCAGAGGGTACCCTTTTTTTAAATTATTTTGAGCTAACCATTTTCGGCGACTGACCCTAAAATTTTGCTGAAGGCGCCTGCGGCGCCAATTTATACTAATTTTGAGGGAGCGCGCGCCAAAAAACGCAATGTTTTGGTCAACAATTTCCAAAAAGTGCTTAAAAACCCATTTTGTGGTCTGCTTTTTTCAGAAATTTGGTCAAAATGGGATATTTATAGTGATTTGAGAGAGCTCAGAAAAACAATTGGGTCGATCTTAAAAAAAATGGTCGGCAAAACTTTCAAAATTTTTTTAAAAATCCAACCCCCCCCCCCAAAAAAAACCCTAGATCTGTTCCTTTACAAAAGCAGACAATTGGACCTGACCAGTATAGGATCTTCAAGCGCACAATGAAGCTTACCTTAGCGTTATGGCAAATTATAAGGTCGGCAGACGGTATTTCTTCTTTTTAAAAATTTTGGAGCCGCGCGAGGGAAAAATTTTCTCCGCGTTTATTGCGGTCATGTGTCATGCGTAGATTACAATAAATTTTTAAGAAGACCTTTAAATTTTAAAAGACAGGTGCGGGTTTAAGGGGGCGGGAAGGAGTCCGCTCTCCTCCCTCTCAGGGATTCGATCACCTGCCGACCCAGAGGGTACCCTATTTGTATTATTTTGAGCTAATCATTTTCGGCGCCTGACCCTAAAAATTTTCTGAAGGCGCCTGTGGCGCCAATATATACTAATTTTGAGGGACCGCGCGCCAAAAAACGCAATGTTTTGGTCATCATTTTCCAAAAAGTGCTTAAAAGCCTCTTTTGTGGCATGCTTTTTTTCAGAAATGTGGTCAAAATGGGGTCGTTATAGTGATTTTAGAGAGCTCAGAAAAATAATTGGGTCGATCTTAAAAAAAAATGACCTCGCGCCAAAAATTGGAGCCGCACGAGGGAAAAATTTTCTCCGCGTTTATTGCCGTCATGTGTCGTGCGTAGGTTACAATAAAGTTATAAGAAGACCTTTAAAATTTAACAGACAGGCGCGGGTTTAAGGAAGGCGGGAAGGAGTCCGCTCTCCTCCCCCTCAGGGACTCAATTACCTGCCGACCCAGAGGGTACCCTATTTGTATTTTTTTGAGCTAACCATTTTCGGCGACTGACCCTAAAATTTTTCTGAAGGCGCCTGCGGCGCCAATATATACTAATTTTGAGGGAGCGCGCGCCAAAAAACGCAATGTTTTGGTCAACACTTTCCAAAAAGTGCCTAAAAACCTCTTTTGTGGCCTGCTTTTTTCAGAAAATTGGTCAAAATGGGGTCTTTATAGTGATTTGAGAGAGCTCACAAAAACAATTGGGTCGATCTTAAAAAAAAAATGGTCGGCAAAATTTTCATATTTTTTTTTCAAAATCCAACTCCCCCTCGAAAAAACCCTAGATCTGTCCCTTTATATAAGCAGACAGTTGGAACTGACCAGTATAGGAGCTTCAAGCGCACAGTGAATTTTACCTTAGCGTTATGGCAAATTATGAGGTCGGCAGACGGTATTTCTTCATTTTAAAAAATTGGAGCCCCACGAGGGAAAAATTTTCTGCGCGTTTATTGCGTTTATGTGTAGTGCGTAGGCTACAATAAAATTTTGAGAAGAACTTTAAATTTTAACAGACAGGTGCGGGCTTAAGGGGGACGGGAAGGAGTCCGCTCTCCTCCCCCTCAGGGACTCGATCACCTGCCGACCCAGACGGTACCCTATTTGTATTATTTTGAGCTAACCATTTTCGGCGCCTGACCCTAAAAATTTTCTGAAGGCGCCTGAGGCGCCAATATACACTAATTTTGAGGGAGCGCGCGCCAAAAAAAAACAAAAAAACGCAATGTTTTGGTCAACATTTTCCAAAAATTGCTTAAAAATCTTTTTTTTAGGCCTGCTTTTTTTCAGAAATTTGGTCAAAATGAGGTCTTTATAGTGATTTGAGAGAGCTCAGAAAAACAATTGGGTCGATCTTAAAAAAACGGTCGGCAAAATTTTCAAAATTTTTTTAAAAATCCAACCCACCCTCAAAAAAATCGTAGATCTGTCCATTTATATAAGCAAACAGTTGGACCTGACCAGTATAGGAGCTCCAAGCGCACAGTGAAAATTAACTTAGCGTTATGGCAAATTATAAGGTCGGCAGACGGTATTTCTTCTTTTTTAAAATTTTGGAACCGCACGAGGGAAAAATTTTCTCCGCGTTTATTGCGGTCATGTGTCGTGCGTAGGTTACAATAAAATTTTAAGAAGACCTTTAAATTTTAACAGACAGGTGTGGGCTTCAAGGGGACGGGAAGGAGTCCACTCTCCTCCCCCTCAGGGACTCGATCACCTGCCGACCCAGACGGTACCCTATTTGTATTATTTTGAGCTAACCATTTTCGGTGCCTGACCCTAAAACTTTTCTGAAGGCGCCTGAGGCGCCAATATACACTAATTTTGAGGGAGCGCGCGCCAAAAAACGCAATGTTTTGGTCAACACTTTCCAAAAAAGGCTTGAAAACCTCTTTTGTGGCCTGCTTTTTTCAGAAATTTGGTCATAATGGGGTCTTTATAGTGACTTGAGAGAGCTCAGAAAAACAATTGGGTCGATCTTAAAAAAAATGGTCGGCTAAACTGTCAAATGTTTTTTAAAATCCAACTCTCGCTCGAAAAAACCCTAGATCTGTCGCTTTTTATAAGCAGACAGTTGGACCTGACCAATATAGGAGCTTCAAGCGCACAATGAAGTTTACCTTAGCGTTATGGCAAACTATGAGGTCGGCAGACGCTATTTCTCCTTTTTAAAAATTTTGGAGCCGCACGAGGGAAAATTTTCTCCGCGTTTATTGTGTTTATGTGTGGTGCGTAGGCTGCAATAAAATTTAAGAAAAACTTTAATAGTTAACAGACAGGTGCGGGTTTAAGGGGGGGCTGGAAGGAGTCCGCTCTCCTCCCCCTCAGGGATTCGACCACCTGCCGACCCAGATGGTCCCCTATTTGTTTTATTTTGAGCTACCCATTTTTGGCGACTGATCCTAAATTTTTTTCTGAATGCGCCTGTGGCGCCAATATATACTAATTTTGAGGGAGCGCGCGCCAAAAAAAAACAAAAAAACGCAATGTTTTGGTCAACATTTTCCAAAAATTGCTTAAAAATCTTTTTTGAGGCCTGCTTTTTTTCAGAAATTTGGTCAAAATGAGTTCCTTATAGTGATTTGAGAGAGCTCAGAAAAACAATTGGGTCGATCTTAAAAAAACGGTCGGCAAAATTTTCAAAATTTTTTTAAAAATCCAACCCACCCTCGAAAAAATCCTAGATCTGTCCATTTATATAAGCAAACAGTTGGACCTGACCAGTATAGGAGCTTCAAGCGCACAGTGAAAATTAACTTAGCGTTATGGAAAATTATAAGGTCGGCAGACTGTATTTCTTCATTTTTAAAATTTTGGAACCGCACGAGGGAAAAATTTTCTCCGCGTTTATTGCGGTCATGTGTCGTGCGTAGGTTACAATAAAATTTTAAGAAGACCTTTAAATTTTAACAGACAGATTCGGGTTTAAAGGGGTCGGGAAGGAGTCTGCTCTCCTCCCCCTCAGGGATTCGGACACCTGACGACCCAGAGGGTCCCCAGTTTGTATTATTTTGAGCTACCCATTTTTGGTGACTGACCCTAAAATTTTTCTGAAGGCGCCTGTGGCGCCAATATATACTAATTTTGAGGGAGCGCGCGCCAAAAAACGCAATGTTTTGGTCAACATTTTCCAAAAAGTGCTTAAAAACCCCTTTTGTGGCCTGCTTTTTTCAGAAATTTGGTCAAAATGGGGTCTTTATAATGATTTAAAAGAGTTCAGAAAAACAATTGGGTCGATCTTAAAAAAATGGTCGGCAAAACTTTCAAAATTATTTTTAAAATCCAACCCCACCCCCTCGAAAAACTCTTAGATCTGCCCCTTTATATAAGCAGACAGTTGGACCTCTAAGATTATAATTTGGGGATTGTGGTAGTTTAGAGTCTGGGAAGCCCTGCCAAACTCAGCAACAAAGAGATACTTTCTGCAGCGTACTTAGACAAGAGAGAGAATTGCTAGAACGAGAAGCCCACGAATATTAGAAGTACTATTTTTTTCTTATCAACATCACGACCTTTGCGTAGCCCCTAGATTCACTGATAATTTCTAAAAGCCAGTTTAATTGGGAGGTTTAGGGAGAACAGTTAGCTGCCAAAGCCACTTTTAATCATAGTACTTAAACCCGCTTCGAACTTCAGTTATACAAGTTAAATCTATGCACCAGTTAAACATACCGTGAATGCCGCTTTTTTGTCACCGGCTGTGTAGTCTAACACTGGCAACTGACCAGTATAGTGTGTAATATTATTATCCATCCTCAGAACTACATCCGGGAGGTGTAGGATTGTGTGAATGTTCGTGGCCTGTGCACTGCTCTCACACTGGTGACTCATCTTGGCTGTGAACTGGATCGTATCTCCTGGAACAAACTCTCTATCCAGAGTATAGGCCACCTCTACTTCCAAATCCACCATTGGCCGTCGCTCCGGAAGAAAATCAACCTGAAATTTGAAAAATATGGGCTCTTTTTGGAAACTAGTCCATTTTTGAAAATTTTATCAAAGGTACGAATTAAGGCTACAATGGTGTGTTACTATACCTGGAAGTTGTGTTGATTGGTGGCCACTGCACCCCCACTCTCCAGAGAGTAGATGAGGGAGAACTGCTGGCCAGGGGTGAAGTCCACTTCATCCTGCACCTGGACAAACACCAGCAGCTGCACTGTCCTGGCTCTACTCGAGGGAGAGAAGGAGATCTCGTTCTGATGGTGGTACACTCCCATGTGATCCTTTAGATCTGAACAATCAAATGATCACATTTGTGAAATGCTTCTGAAGCAAACGCTGAGTCAAAAAACTAATCAGATTCTATAGACAGTAAAAGGTTTACACAAAAATCCTTTTTTCGAAGCCGGCTGAGGATTTATTATGGCATGTGCTACTTTTTTGACCGTTTTTTTGACAGTTTAATGTCTAAATAATGATAATGATAGTCCAAGTGTTAAGAGGATAGAATAAAAGGCTTTTTTTCAGAAACGTTTTTGATTTTTTGGAAACTTTTTGATAGCATATTTAAATCGAATTTTGTTGCGATAAAACGCATGAGAGAGGACAAGGGATTAAATTCTTACAACACATCCTACATGCTAACTGCCGTTCAAATAATTTTTTCAAAAACATTATATAGTAATTTCACGAAGGGGGGGGTATTTAAACTGGAAAGGAGTCGCGACTCGCAAATTTGATGGTTAAGTATAGTTATTCTTACTGACCAAGAACAGACACCCTGCCCATGCGATAAGTGAGGCTGCTCTCCTGGCTGTTCCATTGGGACCCTGTAGACAGGTAGAACTGCTCCGACCAACTGCAGACTCTCATTGAAAGTGGCAGACAGTTCCGACCCCAATTCGAATAGGGGGTCAACTTCTACTCCCCGGAGTACAAATTGGGCGCCAGAGGACTCTATCGGACTGACTAGTGTTAGTTGTGGTTCCCCCTCGAAAAACGGCGGCAGCTCCACTGAAAAAAAAACGAGATTAAAAAAAAACGTCCTTGGGTCGCAAAAACTGGGCTTTCCTCGGCAAAATAACTGTCTTGAATTTGAATGTCGGGAAATAATCAAAACCTAATATCCTTTAACAGGCTGGATAGCATTTGACAGATCTCTTCGAGTTGCAAAACTCAAAGTTACGATCTACTATATCGAGCTAATACCAAAAAATTGATTTGCAGCCTCGTTGAAAGTTTCAATCGAAACCTTTCAAGAAGTTATCATAACAAGTTAAGACTTTGCAAGTTAAATTGAAATGAATCTTGATATTAACATCTTAGCATCATTTGGCGAAAATTTCGAGTTATATAAAGGTTAACATATGAATTTATACTAACCTAGACTCTATTTCCGAGTTTTCATTTGTTAAGTTTTCGTTCACAACTTCCCACTTATTATATGAATTGGCATGCGGACAAATCAGAACATATCAAACACATCTCGATGATCCGTATATTTGCGCCAAAGCTTACACAAAAAAAAACATTGGAACTGCTTGCTAATTTCATCGCGTGACGGCTCTTCTGGTGACAGGTAGGGGGGGGGGGGGTTGGGG